GGGTCTGCTGTAAAAAGAAGAAATAGGAAACGAAGAAGGAACGGGGCGGGGCAGGGTATGTAAAAAGAAAAAATAGGAAATGAAGAAGGAACACAGGCGTAAAGAATAAAAATGGTGACAAACAAGTACCTATCAATAATAACTTTAAATGTTAATGGATTAAATGCCCCAATCAAAAGACAGGTCAGCTGAGTGGATAAGAAAACATGACCCACATATCTGCCGTCTACAGGAAACCCACCTCAGAAAAAAGGACTCACATAGACTGATGGTGAAGGGATGGAAAAAGATTTTTCAGGTGAATGGAAATGAAAAAGAAAGCTGGGGTAGCAATATTTATATCGGACAAATTAGATTTCAAACTGAAGGACATAACAAGACACAAGGAAGGGCACTTCATACTACTAAAGGGAGCAATCCAACAAGAAAATATAACTCTGGTAAACAAACATATGTGCACCCAAAAATGTAACAAAAACTTTTGGAGGATATCAAGGGAGGGATTGATAGCAATACAGTCATAGTAGGGGACTTTAATACCCCATTATCACCATTGGACAAATCCTCTAAACAAAAAATAAGAAACACCAATCCTAAATGATGCACTAGATCAGATGCAATTAATTGACATCTTTAGAACATTTCACCCCAAAGTCACAGAATATACATTCTTCTCAAGTGCACATGGGTCATTTTCAAAGATAGACCACATATTGGCAAAGACTCATCAAATTCAAGAAGATAGAAATCATATCAAGCATCTTCTTCAGATCACAATGGCATAAAAGTAGACATCAACCACAATAAAAAAAACAAACACCTGGAGGCTAAATAGCATTCTATTAAGCAATGACTGGGTTATCAAAGAAATCAAAGAAGAAATAAAAAACATCCTGGAAAAAAATGACATTGAAAACACAACAATACAATATCTATGGGACACAGTGAAAACAGTCCTAGAGGGAAGTTCATAGCTCTACCTCAAAAAATAAGTAAACTGATAATAAATTATCTGACCTTACAACTTAAAGCATTAGAAAGAAACAAGAAAAGCCTAGACTAAGCAGAAGGAAGAAAATAATAAAGATCAGAGTAGAAATAAATGACAGAGACCAAAAAAAAAATACAAA